AACATGGAATTTGACACTTGTAGTCATTTTATTGGCTCAAAATTTAATTGTCTACACATATGTCAGCTCACTTCTCTTCAAGTATTGGATCTCTCTAATAACAAACTGACAGGGAGGCTACCTCAATGCCTCAACAATCTTACCACAATGGCCACTGAAAGTTTTTTGGGTATCCCACAGTATTATCAACATATGAACAGTTTGGATGGTGGATATATATATGCAATAGTATTTCAGGAAAGCGCATCAATTGCAATGAAGGGAAGAGAACTCACCTACCACTCCAATCTCTTTTTGGTTATTAGTATTGACCTTTCAAACAACACCTTGTCTGGTGACATCCCAAGGGAGATAACAAGTCTGGTGGAGCTCAGATCACTTAACTTGTCACGAAATAATTTAACAGGATCGATACCGGACAACATTGGAAGCATGAAGCAACTCGAATCTCTTGATTTCTCAATGAACTCGTTATCCGGCAACATTCCAGGTAGCATCACAAGCATGTCTTTTTTGAATAGCTTGAATTTGTCATATAACCACTTGACAGGGACCATCCCACAAAGTACCCAAATTGGGAGCTTCAACGAGTCGAGCTTCGTTGGCAACAATCTTTGTGGTCTTCCACTAAGGATTCCTTGCAAAAATGATGGTAATGCCCCTGCCCCGATTCAAGGCCGAGAAGGTAAAAAGCGAGAGATTGATTGGTTTTACGTATTCCTATCTTTAGGGTACGCTGTTGGGCTTTCTGTTGTCCTCACTGCATTGTTTTTTAAGAAGAAATGGAGGGAAGCTTATTATGGGTTCTTTCAGAAAATGTGGGACAATGTTTATGTGTATTTCATTATCAAATGGAGGAGGCTCATGAGAGCGTTGGGTCGAAATCACTAATGGCTCGAACTTTAAGCTTTAATATCTGTAATGTGTGTGTGTGTGTTTATAAATAAGGTGTTGGGATGTACTATTATGTTTTTTATTTTATCATTGTATGCTGTAAGACTTTTATATCTAATGATTATTAGTTTTTGATTTACTATCAGTAATTATTATATATATGTAGCTCTTACTCACATTGGAAACATGAAGGCACTCGAATCTCTTGATTTCTCAATGAACTCACTGTCCGGCAACATTCCAGGTAGCATCACAACCATATCTTTTTTGAATAGCCTAAATTTGTCTCATAACCACATGACGGGGAGAATCCCACAAAGCACCCAAATTGGGAGCTTCAACGAGTCAAGCTTCATCGGCAACAAACTCTGTGGCCCTCCACTTACAATATCTTGCAGAAACGACGATAAAGCCATTGATCCAATATTGGCACGCAGAGAATCAAGGCCGAGAAGGTAATAAGCTAGAGATTGATTGGTTTTACGTATCCCTATCTTTAGGGTACGCTGTCGGGCTTTCTGCTGTCCTCTCGGCATTGTTTTTTAAGAAGAAATGGAGGGAAGCTTATTATGGCTTCTTTCAGAAAATGTGGGACAATGTTTATGTGTATTTCATTATCCAATGGAGGAGGCTCATGAGATCGTTGGGTCGAAATCCCTAATGGCTCTGTCAAGAAATTATGGATGTATTTCAAAGTATCTTGTTTGCTTTGAAAAAAAATTAATTCTTATCATAAATTGAACGCCAATTACATTGAATGTGTTATATTTTTTATCGTATCAAAATTTTTCATAATAATAGTTGCACACAATATTATATATAATGCATTTTTTTGTATAGATTTGGAGTCTTAGTTTTACTACAAGAAAATGAGAAAATTCCAACAAAAACTACAACAAATATAACGATTTTCTTATATTGATTTTAGAAAAATCTTGATTTTTGGTTTCTTAAATATATTTTACCTTATTGTGATTGCATAAATTTATTAAAATGTATTACAAATGAGAAAGGTGATAGATTATGTAAAGTATAATTTATAAATAGCAATGACATGTTATTTTGATGGTATATTTTTTTCTATTAACTAAATAAGGCTCCCAATATAAAATTATTTTGGATCTATCACTGCAATTATCTTTCCAATTGAACTTCTATTGGACTTTTGCATAATACCAATGACATTTTTTTCAAAACGATTGAAATATGGTCCAAAAAATAAATTCAAATAAAAATTCAAGTAATTGAAATCTCAAATCTTTACATCCACTAAAGTTCATGTAATTTAATTTGAACTCTATTGGAATAGCCAATGAAAGCAACATATTCGTTGAAATTTTCAGTCGGATACCTTACCGGTGAATTTTTCATTGCAGTATAACAAAATTTTTATAGTCCTCTCAAACATTATTTTTTATGTAGTATATATTGAGTAATTATGTTTAGATTTTTTTTACTAATAATATATTAAACACGTGAACTTTTTAGTTTTTATAATTTTTTTTTTCAGAAATCACTCATTATTTTATCTCAAAATTACCTTAGCTAGGCTAGAAGGGATAAACCTTTTCTGCTAGCAAAAATCCTATTAATTTATCAATTGAGTTACATTTATTACATATTAAATATTATATAATTAAAATATTTCTTGTTTTATCTGTTCAATATCATATTTTTCAATATCATGCTTATGTGTATTTCATTATCCAATGGAGGAGGCTCATGAGAGTGTTGGGTCGAAATCCCTAATGGCTCGGACTTTAAGCTTTAATATCTGTAATGTGTGTGTGTTTATAAATAAGGTGTTGGGATGTACTATTATGTTTTTTATTTTATCATTGTATGCTGTAAGACTTTTATATCTAATGAGTATTAGTCTTATCATTTACTATCAGTAATTATTATATATATGTAGCCCTTACTCGCATGATGATACCGATAATAGCAATATAAGTTTATGCAAACCCCTGTAGAATGATTGTTATTATTATTATTATGCCCAATCCAATAAAGAGGCAAATATTATCCATTTTCCCCTCTATTTTTCTTATGAGAAAGTGTATCTCCTTTTGTATATGCATTTTGTTCCACATTTTCTTCACTGGCATTCATCTACGTATCTGCTACTTTGTTCCATAGTCTTATGTTTTTACTGTGGTGATCTCATTCTGCTTGTGTAGTTTAAAAGTTCTTTTTTCTTTTTTTTTTTTTATTCTTCCGAACATCTAGTGTGGACTAGGAAGATGCACGTGCTCCCACGTGGTATTTTTTTTTCTAATTATTTTTAGTATTATGTTTATATTTAAAAGTATAATATAATTTTCTTTAATTTAGTTTAACAAAAAATAGTGTATTTTATTGAATAATGAAATATAGTATTTAATATTATTATCGCAACTCTATGATGAATAAAATTAAAAAAAAAACAAAATTGGGTTGAAAACCAAAAAATAAATATAATATTTTTTTAGTGAAAATGTAAATGCTAAAAAAATTTGTAGTCTTTGATTTTGTTATTTAATGATATCTTCATTGTGCTTAAAATAATGATCACTATTGTTGTCTTCATAATATAGCTTTCTAATGCCATCCTTTTACATCATACTCTTTGAAAAATAACTCAAATTTGCTATAACTATAATTTATAATGATTATTTTTTATTTGTTGTCTATTGGAAGCTAACAAACTATGTCTAAATAATTCGCTCTCAATCATTTTGATTACTGTGGTTGCAAGTGTAATTATATGTGCAAGTATAATATTTCATAATACTTAGATATATATAGTTATTCCCTAGTCATATTGACATAAGAGATACATAAATATTTGAAAATGTCTTTAATTCAGATCGTAATTAACTAATTATTTCAAAAAGAAAATTTACTTGGAAAACATAAGAATAATATCTTTATTGATTAAAGCTACCTATCTATCTATATATCTTTTCCGACATAAATTATTGTTACATCTCCTAACATTGTCATACATCCATTATCTTCATTCACGAATTTTTTCAAGACTATCCTAAATGTGAATAATTACTAATTCCAGTTTAAATGAATTATGTAGTGATGATTCTTTCATTTTTTTTTATCTTAACATTATTTTTATATCTTCGTCAACATTTCATCCCTACTTTTGCTTAAAATAATTATCATTAATATCATCATCAAATATAGTTTTCTAATGTCATCATTTTGCATCATACTCTTTGAAAAATAATTCGAATTTGTTATAACTATAATTTATAATGATCATTTTTTTAATTGTAGATTGGAAGCTAAAACACTGTGTTTGAATAATTCGTTCTCAATTATTTTGATTATAGTGGTTTCAATTAGCCATATTTGCAAGTATAATATTTCATAATACCTAGATATATATAATTTTTCTCTAGTCATAATGACTTAAGACACATAAATATTTGAAAATGTCTTTAAAGTTATAATTATTTAAAAAAAAAAAATACATGGAAAAGCTTAGGAATAATAACATCTTTATTGATTAAAGATACTCATCTATCTACATATCTTGTCCAACATAAATTATTGTTGCATCTCCTAAAATTGTCATACATGCATTATCTTCGTTCCCAGAGTTTCAAGACTATCCTAAATGTGAAAATTTAATGAGTCTAGTTTTAATGAATGATTCATATTTAAAGTAAATTCACTATTAATTTTTATTTAATTAATTTTAATTGTAACTATTTTATAAGGAGTACACATATTATAAAATTCAAGATTCAAAATTGAATTTTAGTTATTTTATTTTATTTCTATAATTAATCTATTTTTGTTTATATTACAATTCAGTAAATGTTATTTTAATTCATGTAACACATTATTATAAAAGACATTTATACTATACATACTATTAAGAGGTAATATAAATCATATTATGCATA